CAGGACCCTGCTTATGGTTTGTGGGACGAATGCATTGCTGGGCGAACGCTAGTGATTGATGGGATGGTTATTTCCCTGAAAAAGAATAAACCGGTCTTGTTCGTGTCGTCGTATCGGTGAGGGGGGAAAAATCAAGGCGGCCGTTAATGCCGGATGGATGGATGGATAGATGGGATGGGGGCGCAGACGGGGGACAAGGGGGGATGGGGGAAAATCTAGAATGCAAAAGGTACAGAATGCGACAATAAGCGGCGGCGTGTGGGTAATTTCCCATGAGCAAATTCGCATCGGCTTCATATTTCGGCCTGTCTTTGCAGCGAAAAGACGGGGAACGAGGAGCAGAGCCAAAAATGGAAATTTGGAGGAGGCTCCGTACTCATTCCCGCCTCAAGGAAAGAGGTAGTGTACGGATATCGAATACCCAGATCAGGACGTGAAGACAGACAGGGTCCAGTGCAATTTGCCCGGAATGCGACGTGGAGCCTGGGAATGCAAAGGCCAAGACCGGATCAGAGCTGAAGTTGAAGAAGGAACGGGGGAGCAAGGTCGTTGGTGCCTCTTTTTTCTTTTCTTTTTCTTCTTCTTCTTCTTCCATTCTTGATTCTGGTGAGACTTGCATGGAGCCGACCAAGACCCCCCCCACGAGACTTGGACCTCACGTGCTGATCAACTTCTCGCCGCGCAGCCCATGTGATGTGTGCCTTCCACGGGAATTCCGTCTCCTGCCAACATGGAAGGCGCGGTATGGATTCAAATTTCCACACCCAGGATTGCATGGACGGGGAAGGCACACACGGGCTGTGCGGCGAGGACCGAACTAAAGGGACTGGCATGGCAAGGCCGATAACAGGGGAAGGTGCATCCGGATACACGATAATGCCAATGCAAAGTATCGTATCGTAGGTATGATCTCCCTCGGCTTCTTAGCATACCGACTAAGATCTGGCATGCCAACAACGGCTTGAAAATCAACCTGGAAAACTTGGAACGTTGTACGACTGGCGTTCCTCAGAAGGCCATACTGACAAGGATATACTATTCAGCATGGTTGCCGTTGTTTACGTTCCGGCCTGGTGTCTCCCACCGGGAGGCTGGCTGCGCGTCCTGTGACGAGGGTCAGGCTCTCGATTGAATCGTTTGAAATCAGGTCAATTACAAGCATTGACTTCTTCGTCGGGCGCATGAGTCGAACAGAGTTGATGGAACAGTTCTAGGCCCCTCGAACGCGATAGCAGAGTTTACATTGGGGAGGTGGGGGGCAACAGCACCGTGCAACTCGGGAAAAAGGAGGGACTCCAATCGGCATACTTTGTGAGCTGCCCAGTTCTTCTCTTGCGAGGAGCCACGGTTGACAATGTCAGTTGAAAGGACGACGGGTACCTGACCGTTCGTTGGCTGGTCCTACGTCATTCCCGAAAGTAAGCCCACCAACAAGAGGACTGGCTAGAGGAGGCGTATCGAAGGCCGAGAGAGAGGCTTGGGGAGAGATATTGTCAGCTTCAACCTTGCATCCTGCTTGCTGTCAGTGCCAGTTTAATTGCCCGACGCTCGAGCCGACACCTCAAACTGCTTGCTTTCGAACTCGACTAGTGTACGGAGTAGAAGCAAGCCAAAGACACACTGATGGGACACGGTTTGCGAAACCATGATAAATGCACTAGTGTACGGAGTACGGAGTACTGGGTATCTTGAATAGCGATGGGTGCCCATGTGAGTACCCAGAGACAAGTGAGCAAGCAGTACTCCGTACGTGGTGAAAGAGAAAGAGAGAGGGAGGGAGCAGGAGCATCGTATCCCAGCAAAAGGTACAGGGCACATACACTAGGACACGTTGTTGGGAACACTAAATGGGGGAGGCGGGCGCGCGATTGGTTGACAGATAGCATCGAAAATCCAGACTCGCCGACAGTTGGGATGATGATGCTAGATTGCTAATCGACATGGGCCCTATGACGTCTGCACCAATGCAGACCACACTGGTCGAATGAAGAGAGGTGAGATGTGAGAGAGCTAAGGTAAGGTACAGGGGAGGTACCTTTTTTTTCTCTTTTTTTCTCTTTTTTTCTTCCTTTCTTCTGACCTTCCTACCCTCCTAGTATAGGTAGTCTTTCTGCTGAGGGTTTACGATGTCGAATCATTCCAAACCCTCGCTTTAGCGCATGGTGAATACAAGAAAGGCCAGTCACCCCCACCCGCTTCGTGAGAATTCGGGTCGTTGAAGGGAGAGGGGGGGGGAGGGCAATGAGAGATAAATCAAAGAGGATGATGCTTGCTGATGAATACAGACCGCCGTTGTGCTGTCGCGTGTCTTAACCAGAAAATCATGAGCTTTGGGCTTGCACGCTTGGTACGTGTGCCCTGCTTTTTCGCGGGTCTCGGGGTCTTGCCCTGTCCCTGTCTCATTGTGAGCGTACAGTACGGATACAGTACAGTACAGTACAGTAGCGGTGCGCGTGTGTCTTTGCAGACTTTGGGGGAAATCCAGTCGTGCGAACCAGGTTTCTGCAAGTCCCGATTGTACATCGTAGTAGCACTTGGCTACCTAATTACCACCGACTAACGCTTGCGCGCTTGCGTCGGTCTGCTGCTAGTCTTTGCTCGTATGATTTCTGAAGGCGACCTGAAGATCCGGTCGGAGAATCAGTCTTGCCAGCCCCTCATTGTTGGAGGCGAAGGCCCGGGAGCTGTCGAGAGTTGTTTGAAAAGGCTCTGGCGACACGGTTTAGAGGCCAGGCAAGACATGAGAATGAGAGGGTACAAGTGCAATACAAGATTAGCATTCAGCTTTGCGCCATATCTCATCTCTGGGGAACACACCGCGCCAAAAGGGGGGGGGGGGGTGGGCCAGTCAGAGTGCGCAATGCAACCCCCCGTCAAAGGAGCGCCCCCATCCTGCCTAATGACGAGATGGACGGCAGGTGAGCCCTGTGATAATTATAATCCAAACATGAACAGTGGGGAGACAGATCTGCATATGTGCGAAATAGGCGGGTACCTAGGTAGCACAGCCCAAGGGAAGAGACTTTGTCACTTCACATACGGATACAGCGAGCACCTTTCCACCTAATCACGGCCCATATATCCGTAGAATAGCACATGACGCGTCTGAGATGAGCACAGGTCTGAGGTCACAGTCCCCGCCAGCGCGATGATCATTCCCGGCTTGGACGACCCACGACCTCATCGGACATGACGTCCACACCACGCTACTTTGTTGTGGCCCCTAGCACGCCCGTGTCGTTAGCATTGTTTGGCCTCCGCGACTCGTCGCAACTCTACGAATACCCGTACCGTCTCCATGGCGTTATTGTTTGGTTTGGACCAATGTGCGCTGGGATATCGCCGCAAGACGTTCATGTCTTCCCTACCAGTTTCGGCCCCCATCTCACCAGCTCTTGCTTTGCACATTCCCCCTACCTACTCCAGTTGCCTTCTTGAACTACTTACCTATCTACTTAGGTCCATTGTGTACAGGTAGGTAGGTACCTAGAGTACCTAGTGAGTGTACTGTACTGTACAGATATACCATTCTCACTTTCCAGAGACCGAGACTAGATCCATTCGCCGCCGCCACCGGCCACTGCCTGCTCTGTGTTTGTGTGTGTGCGGGTGTGTGTCTTTTTATTATTATGTTTAGCGATCGTCGTTTTGTAAGAACTGCCACCCACACCTCCACCATAGCAAAACGCCGGGAAGAATCATCTTGTGCTGCTTGCCCCTGAACGTCGAGCTCACATACAGGCAACACCTTCAAATAAATCTTCAGGTGATAATTCAAGGGGAAGGCCCGAAGTGGACAGACAGACCGCAATATACCGATACTACTACACTACGGATACAGACGCTACCTACCAACACTACCTATAGGCTATAGCATAGCATACCGTACCTGTTCCATGCTTGCATCCACACCTTACCCTTACCCGGAGATCCCTCCTTGCCGCCAGGGGTGGATGCCCCCCCCCCGTCCCATCGTCCTCGTAGGCCTGGACCCTTTTTTTTGTCATGTCGTCGTCAACCTGCTCTGCTCGCCTTGTCTTTCCCACCATACACCCCTCTTCCCGGTCCCAAGCAGTTGCTCCTTTTCTTCTCTTCTTTTTCTCTCCTTCTCCCCCTTCCGCGGGTCTTCTTAGTTTAGGTATTCATTCCCCTTCATTGTCCCCACTGTCCATTTGCCTGTTTTCTGGCATCATCTACGTACATTACAACAACAAGTATTATCATGGCCACCCGCTTCCGCATGACTTGATCTTCTTTCCGCTGTCAAACTGCGCGCCGCAAGCTAGGCTTTTCAACCCCAGCCGCACTTGTTTCTCACACAAAACTCGACGTCTGAATTTCCGAGGCCCAGCGCCATCACCCTGTGCTGCCGGCTCCTAGTCACCCCGGCCCAGTTCATCATCCTCGACACCCCAGTTCCTCCCGTGTCCTGCCAAGAGGCTCTCTCTCTCTCTTTCTCTCCCTCTCTCTCTTCTTGCGCTCTGTATCTCCCTCAGGAGTGTCTTTCCCTCTTTCCCTCTCTCTCACACTCTCACACACATCCATTTTCTACCTTCCTCCCTTCCATCCAGAAGAGGGAGTCGCATTATAATAGCAGCAGCAAAAAGCAATCATCACTGTCCACCCCCCTCCCCCCTAGGTTGCCCTGACCAGGTTCAGATCGCCACTTGTGCCGTCACGTCAGAGTCCCCCCCCCGCAACCTTCTTTTCTCCCTAAAAGACAGACCCCCCAGTGCCTTACCCGTCCATCTTTCAAAGAGCCTCTTCCGCACACCCTCCCTCCCCCCTTCTTCCTTCCCTCCGATCTGTCTGAACACCCACCTTATCATCGCCAAAAACATTGGGTTCTACTGCGATGGCGCTATAGCTGTGTAAGGCCTGATCACTTGGCCGCCGTCGGAATAATTCTTCTGCAGCGTATCCGTCCCCCGTTGATGTTCTTCGTCGACCAACACCAACCCCAGCAACAAGAAGCATATACTCCTTACACTAAACTAACAATGCTCGACAAGAGGAGCAACGACGGGGCTACATCCGTCCACTACGCCATGAAGGCTCCGCATTCGGCTCCTAGGCCCTCGCCCGGCCCGCGATCTTCCCATAGCCATACGCATTCGCAGTCCAAACTCGCAGTCCCTGCCGCAAAGAGCCCCAAGCCCTCCACGCCTGTTGCGTCTCCTTGGATGCCCTATTCCGTTGGCCAGTCAATGCCTCCCCAGAAGCTGTCCCCCGCGAGACAGTCGGAAGCGAGAGCCTCGAGCCCAAACTACTTCGGACTCATTGTAGAACAGTCGGCCGACCCGAGAGATTCCTCCGCCATGCCTCGAGACAACTGGAGCTCCCCGACCTCGTCCGTCAAGTCGTTTGGCGCCGCGATGCCCAAGCAGGTTCCTATCGATGCTAACCCCGACTATGAGGCTTTCAAGCGCCAGGCCGATCTCAATCGCGGCATAGGCTTCAGCCTTTCCTCTTCTCACTTCCCACAAGCGCCCCCAAATCCCACGACGCTTCGTCCTCGCCCGGCGAGGTGGAATACCCACGCAAGCGACAATGCTTCAGACTTGTCGATACCCCGAGTGGCCAAGGAGCGGCCCTTGAGTCGCATGGAGGTCGACCAACAGAGCTCGCACGATTCGGCCTACGTCTCGCTCGACTCGAAACGCAACTCTGAGGCCTCAATACAACCACCTGCTATTTTGAACCTGAACATGCCGAGATTTGAGTCGCCGATGCAATCCGAGTCACCTTTCGAACGAAGAACAACATTATCCAAGGTCGAGGACCGTCACCCGAGGTTATCCATCTCCCAGAACAAGCTTGATATCCCGGCGCCCAACAATGCCAGAACAAATCAACCGCGAGCCGAGACGATGCCGCCGACCATGGAGAGCGGGCCCTCCTTGATGGCGCCTTCGCAACTCGAGGACTTGATCGAGGCTGACGGTTCGGGGGTCGACTTGCTGCTTCTGGATCTGAGAGTATCGCAACAGTATTCCCAAGCTCGTATCAAAGGCGCGCTCAACCTTTGCATTCCCACGACACTGTTGAAACGAGCTACATTCAACTTGACGAAGCTGCAGAAGACGTTCCAAGACCCTGCGATGGAAGAGCGGTTCTCAAAATGGAAGTCGACCAAGCACCTCGTTGTCTATGATGCATACTCGGCAGAGAAGCGTGACGCCGTTTCGTGCATGAACATGGTGAAGAAGTTTGCAAACGAGGGCTACACAGGTGGCATGTACATCCTGCGGGGCGGCTTCAATGCTTTCGCTGATGCGTATCCCGACCTTGTGGATGAAGGGTGCGGTCCCGTGGCGAGCGGTGGTGTCCTGGCGGCGACCAATGCCGGAAACCGTCCTGGAATCGCACCCGTTATTGGTGGTGTGATGTTGCCAATGTCACAAAACAACGCCAACCCTTTCTTCTCCAATATTCGTCAAAATATGGACCTTGCCGACGGCGTGGGCCAGTTGGACATCGCTCGGCCTTCGGGCTTGGAATCGCCTACACTCCCCCGGTGGCTTAGGGATGCTTCCAAGCCGAGTGACCACGGCAAGCAGGTGTCTGAGAAGTTTTTGGGCATAGAAAAAGCAGAACAAGCACGGATGAAGGCTGCTTACTCAATGTTTGACGGAAGCGAGAAGAATAAGAGCGCGCCGCAGCTTTGTGGCATTGAAAAGGGTGGCAAGAACCGTTACAAGGACATCTTGCCCTTCGAGCACGCCCGAGTGAAATTGCAGGGCCGGCCGGACGGCGCATGCGACTATGTCAACGCTAGTCACATCAAGTCACCAAGGAGCAACAAGAGATACATTGCCACGCAGGGCCCGCTCCCAGCAACTTTCGAGGTACGTGCTTGCTGTTAACTCTACAGCACTTCCATTGACAGTGCGCTAACTTCTTGCAGGATTTCTGGTCCGTCATATGGGAACAGGACATTCGCGTTGTTGTCATGTTGACCGCCGAGTCGGAAGGTGGTCAGCTCAAGTGCCATCCGTACTGGCAAGGCAGAGACTTTGGCTCAATGAGACTGAAGCCTCTATCAGAGAAAAAGGTCTCGTTGGATTTTGATAAGCATCGTACGAACCAGGGATCGACCGCCCCGTCTGCGGCGGCTACTGCTGAAGCCGGTCGCCGTCGTGCTAACACGACAACCACCCTGGAAGCCACGAGCGCCGGTGCCGCGCCCGCGCCGGCGCAGGGCGAGACGCCATATGTCGTCATTCGCAAGTTCGCTCTGTCTCACGCCTCGCACCCTTTCGCCCCGATGCGTGAGATCACTCATCTGCATTACCCATCTTGGCCGGATTTCGGCGCCCCTGCTCAGCCCTCTCATTTACTGGCTCTGGTAGAGATGGCAAATGTAATGCAACGATCAGCGAGACCCGTCGACACCTCATCTGTATCTGCTGTCCGAGCATCACCCGAGCCTGGCTCTCTCGCATGGTATGATGAGCCTGAGATGGACCAAAGGGCAAGGCCGATGCTTGTGCACTGCTCGGCAGGATGTGGTCGAACAGGCACTTTCTGTACTGTGGACACGGTCATCGACATGCTGAAGCGTCAGCGACTTGCAAAGACGAACAGCAGGCCTGTCAGGAAGCGGGACTCGGATGGCGACATCAAGATGAGCGGGCAGTCCGAAGAACCTTCTCCTCGCGAGAAGACTTTCGACTTGAACCCTGGCAGTCGCCGCCAAAGTGTTGATGCGCGGCGAGGTTCGCCTGACCAGACACCGCTGGACACCACATGGTTGGCGGACGACAGCGACACTATGGATCTCATCCAAAAGACAGTGGAGGACTTCCGGAACCAAAGACTTAGCATGGTGCAAAGCCTGCGCCAGTACGTCTTGTGCTACGAGACGATTCTCGAATACGTATGGCGGGTACACGAGAGGAACTCGCCTTTGAACAAGGGCGGCAGAGCTCGAAGTGGAAGTTTACAGGTTAGAGGGGACAAATAATTTTTGGCTCGACTAAAGACTGCGGATATGGCCGGGCGAACGGAGAACACTTGCGGAATCGTAACGCGATACCCTTTATGAATGGCGGAGGGTGCAAGCATCACAGCGAGTAATGGAAACCATCTGGCATTTCGGGTTTGAACGGCAACAGGCAATAACGGATACATCGGCCCAAGGTACAGGGGTCAGGGGCATGAGGTCTGGCGTTTAGGCATTTTTTGAGCTGCGTTTTATCAACGATGCATCGGTTTACAGGAAATAACTGTCCAATGGCACCGGCATGTTGGGATATGACCGTGGTCGATCCCTGGGATTGTATACTAAAAATGGTGGTTGAATGACAGAGCATGGGATGGGATGGCTGCTTCGGCGGGCGTCCCGATGACCATGATTTCCCCCTTATTCTTTATAAACTATGATTTGATTCAAGGAGGTTTTGCCGTAAAACATATGTCAGCCCCAACCAGCCATACCATGAGCTATAACAGGCGCTCGTATCATCTATGACCTGTTTGTCCATTCCGAGCCCTCCCCCTTCCAAAGCTACCAATCTCTCCAAACCCTACGATGGTGGAGGCGGAGAGGCGCACCGGCACAAGGCCACATGACTGGATCACGACACTCTGCTGTCATGTAAAGTCGGACTCTTCGGTTGCCGGTACGAACGAAGGCAGCCCAAGCCAGCATAACCGGACGCAATCACCGTGAGACGGCAGGGGAAAGAGGGAGAAAGAGTGATGTGCAAGTCATTGTGGCCGATTCCATGTCTATGTAGTCGTACATAATTAGCCGTACAAGCGCCACTTGCGAGCGCGTGAACCGCGCGGACGCTGTTTCCACCGCCACCCTTTGCCCGCCAGTCCAACTCCCGCCAACCCAGCAAGGATGTAGTCGTCGTCGTTGTTGATGTTGTTGTTCTTTCTTTCTCCCCGTCTCTCTTTTTCCGTCTCCCACAGCCTACGGCCCCTCCGCGCGCTTACTTCCAGAGCTTGCCGAGCGACACCTCCTTGTCGTCGTGCTTGTTGAGAATCTTTGCGGTGGCGAGCTCAAAGTCCTCCTGGGTGACGTGGACTCTGCGCTCGCGGAGGGCGTACATGCCGGCCTCTGTGCAGACGCCCTTGAGCTCGGCGCCAGAGCAGCCGTTCATCTTCTCGGCGATCTTTGTGAGGTTGATGCCTCTCGTCAGGTTCATCTTGCGACTGTGGATACGGAGAATGTCGGCGCGGGCCTCGACGGACGGCGGGGGGAACTCGATCTTGCGGTCGATACGTCCGGGACGCAGCAGGGCGGGGTCGAGGATGTCGAGACGATTGGTGGCCATGATGACCTTGATGTTCTTGGTAGGCTCGAAGCCGTCGAGCTGGTTGAGGAGCTCGAGCATGGTGCGCTGGACTTCCGAGTCACCGCCCGAGGAGCCCTCGACACGAGAGGAACCGATGGAGTCGATTTCGTCCATGAAGATGATGGAGGGGGCGTGCTCGCGGGCCATGACGAAGAGCTCGCGGACCATGCGGCTACCCTCGCCAATGTACTTTTGTACCAGCTCGGAACCGGACACTCTGATGAACTTGCAGTCGGTGTGATGGGCGACGGCACGGGCGAGGAGCGTCTTTCCCGTACCGGGAGGGCCGTAGAGCAAGACACCCTTTGGTTGTGCGATACCGAGCGACTCGAAGAGCTCGGGGTGCTTGAGGCCCAGCTCGATGACCTCCTTGATCTCCTTGATCTGCTGGTCCAGACCACCAATCATATCGTACGTGCTGTCGGGGACCTTCTCGACCATCATGAGGGAGACGAGGGGATCGACGGAGGAGGGGAGCATCTTCTCGAGCTTGTAGCTATCGGACAGCAGGGTTACCCGCTTGCCGACGGTGAGCTTTGTGATGTCTACATTGTCGGAGACGTCGACGACTGCAGGTGGGTTAGTGTTGGGAAGCGAAACGGGATGCATTGTGAGCAATGGCGAGTGACGTACCGTATTTGCCTTCGGGATGCACCTTGACCAGGACCTTCTTCGTACTCATGACCTTGACGACCTCGCCGACGTAGGAACCGGGCTGCTGCAACAAGCCCAGCTCCTCCCGCAGTAGCCTCACGCGGGAGTTGTAGTCATTTCTTTGGGCTTCGAGGCGACGGAGGACTGCTTGACCCTTGAGGATCTCGAGCTTCATGGCCTCGATCTTGTTCTGGTAGTAGCTGTCGAGCGCCATTGTGACGGATGCCCCGAGGGATTGGAAACCGGGCGGGAAGTTTGCGGTTGCTTTCGACTTGGGGGACGGTGACTTGGGGCGCTGCGTAGGGGGGAATCAACGGGCCGTCGAGGGCGGGGTTTGCGATGGTTTGATGGTTGACGTTGCGGGGGTTGGGAGGGTCGTCGTGATGGAAGCTTGTCGTGGTGGGAAGCTCGCAGATGGGTTCCGGAGTGACAGGGCTGGAGGTCTGGCTGGCTCCGTCGGTCGGTCAGTCAGCCGTAGGCAAACGACAGTCGACGCGTTCAACTGGTACGGGTCACGTGACGGACCAGGTCGCCGGATTGCCACCCAGCGTTCCTACTCAAGCTTAAGCCCAGGCCATGTACACTATGTCGGATGAAAGGATATTCCGGTCCCGGTCTTCTGGAAGGTTTGACAGTCCATCCTCCGTTGCGTGCTGCAACAAAAGATGCAGTGGAATGCAAAGTGACGTTTTTCTCTCCCAGTTGGGAAAGTGGAGTGCAGCACGAGGACAGAGCACATGTTGAGCAATAGTACAGATACGGGTGGGGAGGGGGCGTGAGCGATAACGAATCATCATCACCATTATCATCATTAAAACGCGCGGCAGAGAAGGCGTGTAGATAGGTGCTACACGACTGCGTACACTACAGCAACGCTCATGTGGCGGGACTCGACTCCCTCCGCGGAAGAGGGCAAGAAGAGGGAGAGGAAGAGGAAGAAGAAGAAGAGACGGCAGACAGGAGAGTGTTCTTGGTTCGCGTGTGGCGGCCGATTGAGGTTGCACCCTGATTCTGAAGGAACCAGACGCTAGGCTGATTGGGGCGGGAGCTTGGTTCGCTGTTGCTAGGTCTGGATCACAACACGCACGATGATCCATGTTGTTGACCGCTGCCGCAACGTCGTCTAGTGGGTTCTGGGTCAGAAAAGCTCCACAGCACCTTCCCGCGCGACCGCCGCAAACGCCAAAAGCACCAAAAGCACCAACACCGCTGCGTCTCCACCATGGACTGGACTGCGCTCCCACCCATCAATCATCCGCGGAGTATCAGAGACAGTACGGATAATGTACATACATGCCTAGGTAGTAGACAGATATAAACACTAAACGGCATAACCTTTGCTTGATGGTGGTGACACGCTCATGGTAAAGGACGTTGGAGACATTGATGGACGAGAACTCAAACAGGGCCCTTCCTGTCAGTGTCGTCCCTAGCTTTCTTCCCATCAGAGCCTTCCTCCCATGTTGTACACTAAACAACTGTATTTGGCATACCTTAGGCACAAACAAAAAGAGAGGGCCAGTCACAGTCACACACACTATGGCACTTGTCCTACCAGTACTTACTTGGTCAATAGCATCTTCCATGTCGTTCCTCGCTCCAAACATCGTTCATCAACGGGTGTGCACATGACCGCTACTTGCAGATGCAACTCATTCAGATGCAAACCCGGTCAACAGCGGACAACGCCCGAGTCAGACTGCAAATCTGGGGGAGAAGGCCAAACATTCCAACTGCTCCACCCCTGCCACCTTTTGCAGAGGTACCTGTAAGTTTTAAGACAAAGTACGGAGTAGGGACCACCTCCTATACCTTACTTGCGAGTGCACTTGCACTGCACAACATTGGATCATCACTTTACCACCACCAGCATCCTACCTTGAATAGATAGATAGGCTACCCAGATCGAACTATATCTTGCGCCGCACAGGAATGGGCAAGGCGAGACCTCACTCTCAGTTCCACTCGTCATTCCCCTCCTTTTTTTTTTCTTTCCCTTTGTCTGAGGCCTGAAACTCTCTTCTTCTTCTTCTTCTTCCACTCTGTTGTGTGCTAGTGCTTGCGTGTCTGTGTTGTTTACAATACCTTCCTTCCCACTCTCTGCTTGCGCATCCGTCTCTCCCCTTGCTTACACTGCCTCACCTTCCATTACCAACACTGCCTGCCCAAACTACCTAACCTAACTACCTACCTACCTCTAGGCACGGCTACGGCTAAGCAACCATCAGTACGGTATCCGTACCCCTTCAACCCTTTCTTTTCATCATCCTTTCCGCCCAGCAAATCTTGGCCGCCCGACCTACACTCGTTGACACCGACTCGTCGACCGCGACAGCCCAATACGGATACTCGGGCTCTCCGAGGAATACCCAACCTACATAACCTACCTACTACACGACTGCCGCGTCCGCACTGATAACCCACATCTCCGGCACCTTGCCAACCTCCTCCGCCCATCTTTTCCCACCCCCTCGACACTCCATCATTCTCGAAAAAGCTACGCGCTCACTCTATCCTCGCCCTTTCGTTGTAGTCCGATATGGATCCCTCAACCGGGCCGGGCGCAATAGCCCATGAGGAGTCCCACGATAGCTCAGCCGCCGCCTCGCCCACCGATACTCGTCATCGACCTTCAAGGTTTGACTCCTATGTCGCGTCCCGCGAAGACGGTTTGTCCGAAAGTTTCCAGTCATTCCAGTCCACCGATACGGTACGGAGGCGCCCAGAAGGTGGCTATGGTACGTACGCCCGACCCGCTGCTGCATGCCCAGAAACTCAATACCACTTGTCTGTCTGAGGTGCCGAGTTTACTCAACAGAAAAACCCTGGCTGACATCAACCCCCGCTTTGTGCCTTTGCAGGCTCTATACATACCCAAGCTTCCGGTTCGCAATACCCGTCTGAATCCTCAGCTCACGACCGTTCTCATTCTCGCTCCACCCAAGCTACCCGATCGCCCATGATGGGTCCCGAACGCCCCAAAGCCTCGAGACCCCGAAAACCCCCGATGCCCCGTCGACTCTCGACAAACCCATCGGCACCGCATCGCGGCGAGGTCTTCTCGGCCGATGACGATATTTACGAGGTCGAGGCAGACGCTGCTGAACGCCATCAAGGCCAGCGTGCCAACATCTATGGCACCCGCCGTCGACCCCAGCTGCCGACGACACTGTCGCGCGTGCAGTCCACCCACAGCGAGAACAATGAAGACGAGGACGACGAGGACGATGGGCCGCGAACCCCCCGAGCCGACGAGAACGTACCCGAAGAGCTGGAGCGCGACCCCTCTGTACACCCCGATGAGGAGGACATCGGAGTCGAGTCGGATGGTGACGTGAGTGATGCAGAGAGCTTCACGCTCAAGGACCGCCAGCAGGCCATCAACCAAACGCATCCCTTTGGTATACGATTGTGGAAGCCTGCCCTGTACAAGAAGGATCGCTCGGTGCAGAAGAATGCCGAGGGCGACATCCACTCGACTCCTGGCGGCAGAGTGCATAGCTGGCTTCTCTTCTTCAATCTCCTCTGGACATTGCTGTTTGGTTGGTGGATGGCGGCTTTTTCAGCACTCGGTGCTGTCGTGTGCTTCCTGTTCGCCGCGACCCCGAGCGGCAGAGAATACGGCAGAGTTCTCTGGGGACTGGCCGCCTACCTGTTCTATCCATTCGGCAAGTTTGTGCGCCTGGAGCAGGACGAGGCCTACCTACACGAAGACCAGGGCGAAGGACGAAGCATTTCCGAGTATGAGCAGTGGCAGAACGGAGATCTGGAATACGGCCGCCTGTTCTTTGGCCCAGAAGGCTTTGAACGTACCCGGTCGATTGTTGGCCGCTCGCGCAGGAGCATCGACTCGGAGCCGAGCGAGACGGACAGCCTTCTGGGCCGCTCTCGACGCGGCGATCGGTCCCAGACGCCGCCGCAGACCAAGCGCCGACTCTTTGGAAGAGGACAGTGGAACATTGGACGCGTCGTCTTCTTCCTGTTCTTCTACCTGCTGCTTTCCCCGTCGCTGATACTGGTTTCCCTCATCTGCTGGTTCTTCGTCTTCTCCATCCCAATGGGTAAAGTCACCATGCTGCTGTTTGACCAGCTACGACGACATCCCTTGGCGCTTTCTTTCGAGGCCGACATGGTGCTCTCCCGTACCGCCGACACGCCGCAGTCGTCGATCCTCTTGTGCACCTACCGCGCGGTTGGCATCAAGTACTGGAAGTACACCATTGATGGCACCAACGTCTTCTTGATCAATCTCATGGGTGTCGTCTTTTTCGTCATCTTCGACTGGTTGGTTCTCGACAACGTTCTCCACCTGGACCTCTTCATCACCTCGCCTGCCTTCCTCTTCATTACCGGCCTGTTTTCCATCGTTCCGCTTGCCTACTTCATTGGCCAGGCTGTCGCCTCCATCTCGGCTCAGTCATCCATGGGAGTCGGTGCCGCCATCAACGCATTCTTCTCTACCATTGTTGAAGTCTTCCTCTACTGTGTCGCCCTTAGTCAAGGCAAGGGCCATCTCGTCGAGGGAAGCATCGTCGGCAGCATCTTCGCGGGTATTCTTTTCCTCCCTGGCCTGTCCATGTGTTTTGGCGCCATCAAGCGCAAAACGCAACGATTCAATGCCAGATCTGCCGGTGTCACTTCAACAATGCTGCTGTTCGCCGTCCTCGGCGCTTTCGGCCCTACGCTCTTCTACCAAATCTACGGCACCCATGAGCTCAACTGTCTGGACTGCGTTAGCCACAGCGGTATCGGAGGTGGCCTGTCGCCAGTTGGCGATGGCCGTGACTGCAAGCGATGCTTCTTCTCCCAGACTCCAGCCCTGAACGACCGATTTTACCTCGAAGCTGTTCGACCGTTCTGCTACTTCTGCGCCACGTTGTTGTTCCTTTCTTACATTGTGGGCCTGTGGTTCACTCTGCGAACTCACGCGGCCGTCATCTGGAATTCCGAGATCGACGAGAAGAAACACGAAGAAGCGCACGCTCATGCCAGACAATCGGTACCTCACTCGTTCGCCGAGACCACTGGCACCTCTGTCGACGTCCGTGACTCCCACCTTTACAAGCGCATTCTCGGCCAGTCACTGAAGCAGGTCGGCCTTGCGGCAAAGGGCGACGACGCTTCCCGCCATGATTCCACGACTGGATTAGGACTGGCCCCGGGCAACGGCGGCGTCAGCATCCCGCATGTTGTGCCCCCCAAGTCAAGCAGCAGTGAAACAGTCCGCTCCACCGTTCACATCCCAGGATTCTCAGAGGCCGAAAACAACGCTCTTGTCCGCGAGGTTGCAGAGATGGCTGCCACTGCAGCTACAATCGCCGCGCGGGAGCGAATGCCTCGCAGAACCTCAGCACAGCCCGGATCTTTGGGTGCAAATCTTCCCCGCACCCCTGCTCTGCGTACCGCCGCGGTCCCCGAGGCCGAGGATCTCGCGGCTGCCAGCACTGTGCAGGTGCCCCATGGTGGCCACGACGCCCCCAACTGGAGCCGTGGCAAGAGTGCCATCATTCTCATGGGAGCCACTGTACTCTACGCCATCATCGCGGAGATTCTGGTCGACACCGTTGATGTTGTTCTCGAGGGATTCGCCATTGACGAAAAGTTTCTGGGCATTACTCTCTTTGCCCTAGTCCCCAACACGACTGAATTCTTGGTAAGTTCGGATCTGCTGTAAGCCACCCGAGATGTCGACTAATGTTCCATAGAACGCCATCTCCTTCGCCATGAACGGCAACATTGCACTGTCCATGGAAATTGGTTCTGCTTACGCGCTCCAAGTCTGCCTGCTCCAGATCCCGGCGCTAGTGTTCTACTCTGCGTTTTGGGCGACCACCGAGGGTGTTGAGGACGTGAGCGCGCGCACCTTTGCACTCCTATTCCCTCAGTGGGACATGGTGACGGTGATAATCTGCGTCTTCCTGCTCAGCTACATGTACGGCGAAGGAAAGAGCAACTACTTCAAGGGTAGCATTCTGTTGTTGAGCTACCTTGTGGTTGTTGTCGGTTACTACCTGTCGGGCTTCACTGAAGATGGCATGAGCATGAACCGTTTCGACGTCATGGGCGTCGACGGACAGTACTCGTCCTACAAGACGGTCGGTCGTCGCCTCAATGGCGCCGTTCTCCAAGGATAGGGAGGTTTTACAAGAGAGATGAAGGATGACGGGTTATGATATCCGAAGCGCAGCGAATATTAATTAAGCACTTGTCGAATTGTTTGAGTTGATCAGGGGGGAAGAAGCTGGGTGGTCGGAGCGGAGAGCAAGTTTGGCATCTGGTTGTCCGACAAAGGGCACGGCTCACTACACGAGTTCATTTTATCAAGCAGGCGGCTGCAATGGTACGCTGACGGCGTTACGGAGAAGAGGACGTATTACCCAGATTATTACCCTTTTGTTTCATCGCGGCCCGTTCCGAATTTACATGTTTAATTGATATCAGACCTCCAGACCATTGTCATCCTTGTTGCATGTTAGTGCCGACATAAGACGCGGGTCTCTCTTCAACGACTTGCATCTGCCAAGTGCCATTGATTCCTGCCCGAACGCACTAAAGGCGCAGGCGTCATCTTGTCTGGACAGGGGATAGGACGATCATCGTCATGACTTGGTGGGTTGGCATAACGGCAGCAACGACGGTGAACAAGTGGGAATGGATCTTGGCTGCGAGTGAAATTAAAACGGAGAGACACTTTATCCAGGCATGAAGGAAGGCCTGACCGCCGGGACGTCGGAGCTTCTGGAGCGGGGGTTACATTCAAAAAGCGCTTCAGTATCGTTGACATATCCGTGATGCAAGTTAGCGGCAATCGAAACCATATTCTTCCCCACTCTACGGAGCGGGTCAAGTCTTGATGTGTACATGACGGCATCGCATCACCATACAACACTCTCCATTGGCTACGCTGCGGACATATGCTCTCCTTTCGGGGGTAGCGGCGGCCATGCGGCTGGCAGCTCAGCATGATTGCGCTTGGTGAGATGAGTCGTGGCCTGGACGAGCTTCCAGCTTAATACAGGCGGACGCGACGGCCGTTCGTTCTATATCAACGCCGCCGCCCCGGTCGATCTCGGGTCGAAGCCATTCGTCTTGGACACGTTTTGCCTACTTCCCACAGGAATCTTACAATAAAATCGATCGATTAACCATGGCTCCTGCTGAGCCGCATGCTATTCCCTTCAGGGCAAAGGGCGAGATTCCCGAGTTCAAGGAAGAGAGGGAGGGCTGGAAGGGCTACATTGAGTGGGAGAAGTACCCAGAGAAGAAGAAGCAGGTTGAGGATCTCATGGCACAATATGACTTCCCTGACGTGAGTAATTGATCGGGTGACATTTCGCAAAATCATGGCCCATGGTCGTTCGTGCTGATACCAATCTCAAGCCACCTCAATTCCAACTCGGACCGTTGCCCGACACCAACCCTATTCTCACAGGTGAACGATGGAAGCAGTATCACTATGCCCTCGGACTGGGACACCTCGTCGACACTAGCTGGGACATTGTCAAGAAGGAAAAGGCCGAGGACATGATCCACGTGCTCCAGTTTCCGTACAATGGCGAGACCCCGCGTGTAAGTGGCCACGAGGTCCTTCAGAGCCGTTGCAAACAAGGCTGACACCCCGTACAGAAACGCCTTGTCGAGAAAGAGTTCACCGACAACAAAGACCACTTCGTCCGCAACCACGGCGGCATCCCCGAGATCGACGAGGACAAGTACACGCTCGACATCACGGGCCACGTTAACAACCCGCAGACCCTCACCCTCCACGACCTCAAGACCAAGTTCCCGCACCAGAGCAGCGTCGTCTCTCTCCAGTGCTCTGGCACACGCCGCATCGAGCAGATCGCGCAGTATCCAGGCGACGGCGACGAGCTCATCAATGCCCCCTGGGGCGAGGGCGCTATCGGCACGGCCCGCTGGACGGGCGTCAGCTTGAAGAAGGTGATCAAGTACTGCGGCGGTCTGAAGGAAGGCGCAGGCCACCTAGAATTCTTCGGCGCCGACACGTACTTCAAGAAGGGCAAGGTGTACAACTACGCCGTGAGCGTGCCGTGGCGCAAAGTGAAGCTGAACGAGGTCCTCCTCGCGTGGGAGATGAACGGCGAGCCGCTGCCCAAGATCCACGGCTTCCCGCTGCGGACCGTCGTGTTCGGCTACATTGGCGCGCGGAGCACAAAATGGCTCACCGAGGTCCGGGCCATCCCGCACGAGAGCGCAGCACCAGTGCAACGGCGGGAGTACATCTACTATACGCCGCAGATAGGGAAGCAGAACGTCAAGTATAGCAATGGCTTCTCGATCCAAGACATGCCCGTGTCGTCAGCCATTATGACGCCCAAGGACATGGAACAGATCGTCCACGACGGCAAGGTGACGCTGCGCGGCTGGGCGTACTCGGGCGGCGGGCACTGGCCCGTTCGAGTCGAGGTCAGCTCCGACGGCGGCTCTGTGTGGTACGAGGTGCCGTACGACAAGATGACTAAGAAGTACTTCCACGCGTGGCGGCTCTGGGAGATTGATATGCCCGTGGACGCGGAGGGATGGCTGGAGTTCTGCGTGCGGACGTGGGACAACTCGTGCAACACACAGCCTACCTATGTGCGGTCTGCTTGGTGAGCCCCCCCCCCCCCCCCCTTTGTCCCTTTCTGCTCCATACACTCCATCCCCATTCCCTGTCTGGTCTGAGAGCGATGTATGAGGAGGAGGAAATACTGACGACGGCATAGGAACTGGGACCTCCACGTCACGTCCTCGTGTCACCGCATCAAGATCTACAGCATGAACCGGTCCCGGCCCGCGACAGCCGCCAGGCTGAAGAAGCTCGAGGAAAAGGGGGATCCCATTGTGCCGATCACGCACCCCGTCAAGATCGATCTGGAGTCAGATGAGGAGTACGAGAGAAACATGGCGGCGCAGGGTGGCCGGGACCCGGAGGAGTGAGAAGGGGGGGTTGTTTGGTGGACGGAGATACACACGCTTGTCCATCGTTTTGTGGACCGGTTAGGGTTCTGCAGTACGCCCGAAATACGGCTTTGCAGCTCATGCCACGACTTTTATGACGCCAGTGACACATGAAATCTTACGCGGTTCGACTATGCCGACCTGGTTTATGTTGCTCTTTGCTTGGCCTCAACTGATATGGCTCACTGTTTTGCCCATGGCCCTCTACGCTACAGAATCGTCACGCCAAAAATACACCTATGGAAACAGAACATCGACTTGACACACATACCGGCACCTCGTACCGGAGCACCATGTCTGCCTACCACATCAGTAGGCTCCAGCAGTGCTTGCTGACAATTGGCGCCAACCAGCATGGGCCGATCTGGCCTTTCTACGTTGCTGAGATGTACATGCAATGCTTCGCAGTTTTGAGATTACAGGCTGAAAAATACGGGCGCCGACATACTGACCCTCCGGTCAAGAAGCGCTGATAAAGGCCGCTGCGTTCACTTCCGTATCACCCAGTTTCTTTCTCTGTTTAAAGACCCATCCAGTTCCCATTTACGCTCCCGTCTAGGTCGTCAAAACCCGGCACGTACCCATTCCCGAACATGGCCGAGAACTGGTCGAGAGCTGGTGGCATTGGCGACAGGCTCCCATCAAGTCCGAAGAACGGCATCGCGGGCGGCAGTGACGCCGTGCCCTGTCGACCCGCCCCGGGGGCGACGTGTCCGCCCTGACCTTGGCTCCCGCGCCCAAACATGGCAGGATGCGGCGGGATGGGCAGGGCCGCATCGAGGCCCCTATCGCTCCTCGCATCCTGCGCCGGCATGTCCGTTTTCCACAGCATTTCCCATTTCTTAAACCTTGCGTAATCCGACTCCTTTGCGGAGCTGGAGTCGTCCGCCGTGTCCAGCCTCGAGATGGCGCGCTCGAACGCCTCGATCAGCGACATCTCGGACTTGGCCGACTCGCCACCCGCCGACATCTCTTTGAGCATCGCCATGCCTTCTCTCAGCGCATCGCGCAGGCGGTCCGTTTTCTTCTGGAGGCACTGCGTGATGATCACGAGCAGCGCGGCGCGACAGGAGCTGAACTCGGTGTACGATGCCCTGGCAAGGCCGACGCTGTTGCGAAGCAGACGGCACGTCTCCACCACGCACAGCGCCGCATCGACGCAATCCGCGACCAGGACCGAGCGAGGGTGTATTTTGCCTGTCGAGCTGCTCGTCCGTGGCGGTGGGGCCGAGTCTGCAGGCGAACCGGACGAGCTTGCGGTGCTGCGGGCCGAGTCCCGGGGGAAGATGAAGGGACGGCCGGCGAACATTCGGACAAGGCAGTATTCCAGTCTCAGGTGCATGGTGGGCCGGAAGACTTCGGGGCCCGAGGTAGGATCTTTGCAAAACGTCGGCTCCGGGAGGCTGTTCCACCAATTGTGGAGTTGGGCTTTCATCTCGACGAGCTTGGCCATGCCTTCGGGTATCTCGTGCTTTTCGTACGTCTTGAATAACGAACTACGCATAAAGGTTAGATGGAGCGCTGGAGGTAAGAGCATTGATGACGGACATTTGATGGGCTATCCGGCTCAAGGCGTTGTTGAGCTGGAGTGTTGCCAACATGTGTGCTGTGTTCGGCGGTGCAGGCCCCGGCCAGATATCTGTGCGATCTCGCGGCAACTCTGCATCGACATCGCCGGCGGCGATGGATACTGGTCGGCCGTGGAATATGCCAATGCGCCTATGATGAGTAGTCAGCACGAGCCCAGACGTCGCAGAGAGACCTTCCGCACTTCTCGGTGGTGTAGGCCGTCCACCACACCCGATTCCTTGTCTCACGGATGACGGGATCAATGGCGTCCCCGGGATACTTGCGGTGCATCCCGTTCTGAATCGCCAGCTTGACTGCGAGGTTCAAGTAGACGTACGACAGGCCCGAAGCATCGAGCGGCAGCGTATACAAGCCGATCAAAAGACATGCCTGGACGCTTTCCAACGACGATATTGTGATGACGTCCGGGACCAGTCGGCATGCCTGCTGGTAGAACATGATACCAATCGTATCCTCGGAAAAGGGGCTCGAGTCGGCAGCAGCACTGGGAGGCCCGCCTCTCTCGTCACGAGAATCTAGATAGGCATATTGCGTCCCGATGGCGAAGATTATGAGGATCATGCACACGGTGCCGACATCTCGCCGCGTGAGGGACGCCGAGTTCTCGTAAACCAAGTCCAGCTTCTCGTTCAGCCAATGGCGTTCGACGTAAAAGTAGCTGGTCTCGGCATGGTTGAAGAAAGCGTGGACCAGGAAGTCGGCGACGTAACGCGGCGGCAGGGACGACAGTGAAGCCACGGCGTTTGATGACGACTGCAGCTCTTCCGGGCGGTAGTACTCCTTGAACTGTGTTTTGGGGCCATCCGGGGCGTCCTGGGTGATGGGTCAGCCAAGACTCCCCCCCCCATCACGGATATACAAGTCGGAGAGGACCTACGTTTACACACTGCTCGATCCACTGCTTTATTCTCATGGAGAAGTTCCAGTGCGAGAACTCACCCGAGTAATCTGCCGAGGGTCAGCAAGGCGTCTCTGATCGGACGTTGGAGCCAGGCCGGGGCCACGCCTCTTACGTGTGATGTTGTTCTCCAAAGGCTGCACCGTGATATCGTCTACCTTGAAGGAGTCTGAGCTTTGCGATTGCGCTTCTGGCTCGACGCCGACTTCCGGCTCCATGGAAACATGCGCTTCAGCCCCGGCCCTGCATGCCTCCGGGCCGGCACGTCCCTTCTCGACAGACTCGGCCAAGGTCTTTAGTGTCTCGGCATCAAGTGTGCTCTTGCCGGTGTAGTGCTCCAGCAACCGCTCCATGCAATGCATCCTCTGTCTCAAGTGAGAATCATGTTGCGGGGGGTGCGGCCTGTGGCATTCCCCGAGGGCCTGGTCAGCCAAGTGTTGGCGCAATCAATGGGATCTATACATGGATTCGTATAAGATGGGGAGGGGAAGGGAGGTACCTACCTTGCCGAGGCCTCGGACCCGGGCTCATCTCTGGTGGTGGGCGTGAGGAACTCACACTGCCGGCGCAAGCGGGTGCACCGGCGGCAGGGGACTCCTCCGTCGCATTTTTCTTTGAGTCTCCGGCATCCGTCGCAGCTTGGTCGCGTCAGCATGGGGACAAATCTTTGTCATTGAAAAGTTGCAACGAGAGAGAGAGAGAGAGAGAGAGAGAGAGAAACAGCTGGGATTCATCCTACGCTCGAACTGCCCGCTTGCGCTCTTTGTCAGCGACACGACGCTGCTTGTGTCGTTGCAGACGCAGGCTGTCCTCGGGATCCATCTAGGCACGGTACGGCTCGGAAATGCGATAGCCGATAAGCATAAAAAAGACAAACCACGTTGATAGCACGCGGCGGCGGCGCCGATCAACAGAGGCAACCGAGGGCCCGGGCCGGTGGTAGTAGGTGCAGGTCCGGAGTCCGGAAAGGAAGGTCTGGTTTCTCCCTCTCTCTCTCTCTCGGTGTCTCGTCAATCCCTTGCCATTCCACGATTCAGGACGGGCATGGTATGTGGGTGTGGATAAAGTGTGTGAGTTGAACGAGCGATAGTCCCGAGGTTGTGTGTGATGGGCTAAAGATAGGCGGAGGCGAATGCCCGTCAACGTGCGTGCCTTCCTCTCCCAGGGGAGGCAAAATCTCGGCGAAACCTGCGCCTCGGCGGGGGACCGGAGCACGACCCGCCCTAACCCCCCCCTCCCTCCCCAAAGACGCGGGGGGAAGCCGTCTACATCCTGGTCGGAGCCGAAAAGTGCATCGACACAGATCCTTGAACCCAGGACCTGGACCTGGACCTGTTTGATTAGAAACAAACACTTCTTCCGACCGCGGTGGACTTTCCTTCCGTTTAATGCCTACTCTAGACATCCGCATGTTGTGCGGAGGACTATCGGTAGTGGCCACGAAAGAGGCGCACACCTTTGCTAGGCAGAAGAATCGCTGGATTCCTATACCCCCGACAATCCGCAATGATGAACTGCCCCGGCTTCCACGCAACCAGAAAGGTCCAATGCCACAGGAACACTGAAACCGGCGCTTAGGTTGATTGCAAGCTGCAGATGAAGGCAAGTGGGCATCGGCTGCGCTCCATCCGATATCCTCCAGCCCAGCCAGACCCGGGCGGGAAGGGAAGCCCAGCACTCCCTAGACTCTGTAGTGGGGTATGCGGCGGGATGTGTCCGAGACCGGAGGCCGACCCGGACGTGCCTACGGGACCGGCAAATTGCCGGTCCTTGTACTATGCAAAGGACAAATCACATGGACGCAGTGACCTTCACAACTAATCGGCTTGTCAGCCTCGTCACAAGGAACGCATGCTTCTGTGACGGTGTTATGGCGAGCCCCCGGGAGACGGAGGGTACTCGGCATGCTGCGAGTTTCTTTCCTGGTCCAGCCAGCTTTCCTCGGATGAATTAAACCAGTTGCGTATCCTTTGGCAACACATCAAAGAAGAAAACCTCCAGACTCCTTGTACTATGCCGATTTTCAAAATGATCCGTTCAGAAACAGGCATCAACGATGAATTTAGCCTTCAAACCAAAGTCGTTGGCATTGACCGTGGTGACTTTCGCGTGGTCAACGACAATTCTCGTCCTACTCCCAAAGGTAGTCATGACGGCCCCTTCATGCCACTCAACACTATGCAATCCAATGTGGCGAAGGATTATTGTCCGATATATCTTGCTCAATTTTGTACGCCTTAGCTATTCCTGTAATTATGATATCTATGCAAAACGCCCTCCAAATGGGTCTAAAGCCATTCCTAGCCTGCTCTGAGAATCGGCAACCCATGCTTATGCTATCCTTTTTCCAGTTTTTTTTCTTTTTTTTAAATCCTCGCCGCGTCCCGACAGTATTTACAAGGACGAAAAGGTCTTCTCAAATGCTGACATCAAAATGGGAACTGTAATGTTGTCAGAATAGAGTGCCACGTTGTGGAGGGGCGTCAATGACTTACTGTGAGCCTCTTCGAAGATAAGCATGGGCCTGAGTCTGATGGTCTCCTTGCCGCAAGCGCCAACGTTGACGCCAAGACGCTTCATTGAGCTCGTAACGGCTGCCGCACTCTGTGTATCGAAAGCGATGTAGGTTCTGTGGCATGTATCAGTGGAAAATGCTCTGGCTAAAAGGTGTCAAGTACGGCTTCACTCACCCCTGGCCCTTGCCGCGCAGGTTCTGAACGTGGTCAGGGTACTTCTGGGCAAGCTTCTCCATCTCGGAGTAGAGGGCATCTCCAACGCGAGCCTATCAAGGAGTTAGACAAAATGAACAGAAGCAAACAGAAGAGCAGCATCCATACAGTTTGCTCAACAAGTTTCTTGTTCAGGATCTCTTCAACAACAGCCTTGCAGACAATGACACGAGCAGCGTCACCGATCCAAGTGTTGAACTGGCGGTAGGCCTTGTCGGGGACCAACATGCGGTCGCCGAAGAAGTAGCCGGCAGTCTGAGCCTTCTTGGAGAAGGTGACGATATCAGGAGGGGAGGTAAGGTCCCAGTGGGCGTGTCCCCAGAACTTTCCAGTAGCACCGAAACCTGCCGCCAATGTTAGCACCTCTACACTGAGAGATAACGCTGCGGAACAACTTACCAGTCTGGACCTCATCAACGATCATGACAACGTTGTGCTTCTTTGTGATGTCACGAAGACCCTGGAAGAAAGCCGGGGACGCGTGGTTGTCACCGCCCTCGGACTGGATAGGCTCGACGATGATGGCGGCAACGGGGCAGTGCCAGCTCTGGATCAGCTTCTCAACCTCCTCCAAGCAGCGCTTCTCCTCAGCATCGTTCTCGGCCGCGTGCTTCTCGAGGGGGTACTTCAGCGCGGGGAAGGAGGCCTGGGGCCAGTTGAAAGAGGGTATGTCTAGCTTGTGAACGGCCTTTGACCGGGTGGTAGACAAACTGCCGAAGCCTCGGCCGTGGAAAGAGTTCTTGAAGCTGAGAATGGCGAGTTCGGGGGAGCCAGGGGTGGTGTTGTGAAGGCAAGAGCGGACTTCCTCATCTGACCACTCGGCATCACCACGCTCGCGGCGACGGTAGAGCATAAAGGCAGCCTTGTAGGCCAGCTCGTTGGCCTCAGAGCCGGATTGGGCGGTGAAGATGTGGTTCAGGCCCTCGGGAGCCACCTTCATCAAACCATCCTGGAGGAGGTCGTGCCAGAATGCCGAGGGGAAATTGCCGATGGCAGGTCTGTTGACAAGGGCCGAGATCATCTCGGGTGACTTGGCAGCCTCGATGAGAGTGGGGTTGTTGTAGCCAACCGGGATGGAGGCGATCTGCGAGTAGCTGCCGGGAAAAGATTAGCGAGCTGCGGGTTGGCGCACTGCCGTGTATGGTCAGCGGGCTTTGGGGGGGGGAAACGTACACATCGAGATACTTATTGCCGTCGACATCCACGATACTGAAGGCTTAATGTCAGCACCAGTCCACTGACGGTGGCGATAATGCATACTAGTTTCCAGAGCTCTTGTCGTAGTCGACGACAAAGTATACGGCACGGGCGTCGAAGAATGCGTCGAGCTTCTTTGCGCTCGCCTTGGACACGGGTCCAGGCACCTCCGTGGTGACCGAGTGTTCAACGACGGCTGGCATTGTGGCTTCGATGTTCTTGCGATCTCGGGAAGTTGGTTGCAGCAAGACTTCTGTTTGACTTTGGTGAAAATAAACTTCATCGTCAGCTGATGGGAATCGAGTATTTATCGTCCGAGACCCTGTCCGCGAGCTTCCGTTTGCCCATCACAACCGGGAACCGGGGACGAGCCGGCCGGCTTGGGACCGGGCCAATAAGAACGATATCCATCAAATCCAGCACGATCCACACTATCCCGGCTGATTGCGGCCTGTCGTGATCACATGCCGCCTTGATCATCTTGTGGTGATCTCCTTTGTTTTGTGGACTTGGTTCGTAACTTTACCAAGTGCAACACATCGGTATGTGTCAAACACCCCAGCAACGTATCGCATTCCAGGTCCCGGGCCGGTCCCACTGAACCCAAAAGTCAACCCCGCACCGGTATCAACAGGCAGGGCGGCCATGTTACATCAGTAGTGTCGCCGATTCGACGCAATCATGGGACGCTCATATAAACACCAGCCCGCAAGAGGCTTTTGAGCTTGCTGCAGCAGACTTGAGATATCACACCACCTTCCTTTACTTACGGTCAAATCGAGATACGTTACTCTCGTTCGCAATGGCATCGGGCGCACACCAGGTGAGTCTTATCGAATACTAGCGGAGAAGCGGGTCGAAACTAACTCCGACACAGTTGAAAGATGCTTCGCTATTGAAGACATCATGCTACGTGAACGGGCAATGGGTTGGCGCAGCGTCTGGCAAAGTCTTCTCCGTTGAAAGTGAGTATGGCCGTTTGTCATCTTGTGGCGGATCGAGACTTACATGCAGATAAGACCCCTCTACTCTTGCCGAGGTTGGCAAATGCCCCGAGTTCGACGAGAAGGACACCGAGGCCTCCATCCTCGCCGCCCACGATGCCTTCAAATCCTACCGCAGGACGCCTGCACGGACTAGGGCCCGGCTATTGAGGAAGTGGTACGACCTCATGACGGAGCACGCCGAGGACTTGGCCACAATCATCGCTCTCGAAAACGGCAAGCCCATGTCCGACGCAAGGACAGAAGTTGCCTACGCCGCGTCCTTTTATGAGTGGTTCTCGGAGGAAGCTCCCAGAATCTACGGCGACACCATCCAGGCGAGCAACCCCAGTTGTCGTCTGGTGACCCTCAAGGAGCCCATCGGTGTCTGCGGCCTCATCGCACCTTGGAACTTCCCCGCTGCCATGATTACACGCAAGGTCGGTCCGGCACTGGCTGCGGGCTGCACTGTGGTTGTGAAAGCACCCGCCGAAGCTCCCCTGACGGCACTGGCTCTGGCGGAGCTTGCGCACAGAGCAGGAATCCCCGCTGGTGTGGTGAACGTCATCACGGCCTTGGACAACACGGTGTCCGTGGGGAAGGTTTTGACCACGCACCCGATTATCAAGAAAGTGTCGTTTACGGGGTCGACCGGCGTCGGAAAGCTCTTGATGAACCAGTGCTCCACGACGTTGAAGAAGCTTTCGTTCGAACTCGGCGGAAACGCCCCCTTCATCATTTTCGAGGACGCGGATCTCGACGCAGCTCTCAAGGGCCTGATTGCGTCAAAGTTCAGGCTCTCGGGCCAGACGTGCGTGTGTGCTAACCGCATCCTGGTTCACAGCAAGGTCTACGAGAAGTTCTCGCAGATGCTGGTAGATGCCGTCAAGAGCTTTGTCGTTGGCGATGGATTCGGCGAGAAGACGACACACGGGCCGTTGATCCACGGTCGCGCAGTTTCAAAGGTGGACGAACACGTAAAGGATGCGGTGTCCAAGGGAGCTCGCGTGCTCCTGGGCGGCAAGCCCCGGACCGATCTGGGCCCCAACTTTTTCGACCTCACTGTCTTGGCCGATATGAAGCCCGGCATGAAGGTCTGTTCGGAAGAGACGTTTGGTCCCTTGGCGGCTCTGTTCGCCTTCGAAACGGAAGAGGAGGCCATTGCACTCGCGAACGACGCCGACGTCGGTCTTGCGGGGTACTTCTTCAGCAAGGATGTCTCCCGATGCTGGCGCGTGGCTGAGGCTCTGGAGGTTGGCATGGTTGGTGTCAATATCGGTAAGTCCCGACCTGGATAACTCGACGGGAGATGAGCAGCACTAATCCGAGAATACAACACTATAGGAGCCATCAGCGACCCAGCCGCGCCTTTTGGTGGCGTGAAGCAGAGTGGATTTGGAAGAGAGGGCAGCAAGTATGGTATTGACGAGTTTCTGGTGACCAAGATGGTCATGACCGGCATTGAATGATGATGAAGATTTCCCGCTATAGAGTTCGATACCAATTAAAGAGAGATTTCCTTTTCTAACAGATGTACGACGGGAACGCAGGCGCTCGTGAGAATAGATGACTGTGTAGTTCGAAGCGGGATCAGCAAGAACAAGGAGGAGTCACATTTGGTTGTTGCTCTGGTAATCGTAAAGCCTGTGTCGTTGAAGATAGCATCAACCCTTGGTGGCCGGCGTTCGCGCACCGGCAATTTGATGACTGTAACCAGACAATAATGCGAGAACCAGTTCGAATGCTCCATGTCGAAATTCCGCATCGTATCGGCAGGGACTATTCTGCCGGCTCCATGATTGAGACCTTGACCGTCTGTTCCCGGAGGGACCGGGCCGGCCGAGAAAAAACCGGTCGCCGAACCGGACCCACTCTTATCTGAATCCGGGGAAACATTCAGTTCGCATTGCTTCTGGTAATATGATCGATTCCGCTCCGCTGTTAGACAGACGGAAAGCCTGCTCGAATCTACAACGTAGCGCATACAGAGATTGTGATAGCGCGGGCTAGGAATGGGGGATGACGATGCCACCCCTTATTGGTGGAACGTCACCCTGCGATGTGGTCCGAATGATACGCCACTGGGATACACGTTGGCAATGGCGTTGTACTCGACCATGCCCACTGGGATGATCAGTGCATTCTCCCTGGCTACACCACCCTATAGTACCTGCCGACCAGACTAAAGATCGCCGATAGCACATCGTGGGGTGCACGCGGCTTAGCTTCATCTTGGAGATCATCGTCGTGACCACGTGTCGAGCACGGAGGCCGTGTGTACACGATTGGGCGCCATGTCTCGGCATGAGAGCAAGATTCAGTCGAGGATACCCCAAACCGTCTGAAGTCCAACCGAAAGGGTCTAAAAGTCGCACCAGTCGAATAGGAGATTACGAACAGAAGTAAAATACGATTGGGACAGTGCAAACAAATGACGAGTCTAGTTTGGCAACCCGAATCTTGCCTGCAGGGGCAAGCCGGTTGTTGGACCTATTGTTCGTCAACCTCGGCCCTCTCTCATTTGCCGGCCGCCCCTGTTCCCGAAGCTAGCCAAAGTCGAGATCTGACGCATGAGCACTATGTGTTCCCACAAGAGCTTCTTCCATGCTCACCAGAAAGACAATGCTCTGAATATTTGACAAGAGGCCGGTTCGGTACCACACCAAACTATCTCCGTGTGGCTTATGTTCGCTTGATTTGAGACAGGATCGGAGCCACCTCGAAGGCTGAGCTTGAGACCTATTCGTATATCGCTTGGATTGCATATCCCTGGTCTTGTGGAGCTCGGGCAATTCGCCAGGAAAGATCTAGCCATCGTCCGACCCCAGCCGGCTAGCTAACCCGTTGGAGGCATCCGATACCCGCGCGCCCAGGTGATCCGAAACGCCGAGGAGAGAGTTGCGGATAAGAAAGCTGGCCCCCACCCTGGCGGCGCAACCGACTTTCATCTATATGATTAGGGGCTTTTGCGGCAAATAAGAAAGGAAAGAAGGAAAAAGACAAAGGAAATAGTAGTAATCCGCAAATGAGCCAAGGACAAACAAGTAGTGCCAATACCTACAAAACCCGGCGGTTTACGGATATGCTCGTTATCGAATGGATGTCATTCTCCTCAGGCAGGTCGACAACGTCTTGGGGACGGAGAACGACCGAAGCTAACCACACTACGGATACTGCGTACTACAAGAGAGCTTCCTCGTTTGATGCCCTGACCCACTGCCGAGCCTCCAGTTGGTGGGATTGCCCGGTGCTAGCGCAAGGTACGTAAGGTGCTGAGAAACACGCAATCACGGGAAAATCGAGCCGTTTTGGACCGCGGTATATCCGTATATGGATGACCCAACCCAAAACACGCCATCGTGCAGGTTACTGGAGAACCCGCCCCAATCTTCCTTTGCAAGTGGCGGAAATTCAGACTACGCCTCAAGAATCCATGCCATGCTTGCTTGCTTGCACTTTGCGGACGGGGCCATCCCGTAAAGGAGCAATACGAGAGAGCCCATAGCTGCCCCTCGCTGCCCGGCTATCTAGATGGTTAGCCACTCGTGACGATTTTCTGCAACAGAATGCCATCGCTAGCAGTCGCTGCCCCCCTCCACCCCGGCAAGTTCACATGTAGATAGTATACGGCCCTACCAGCGGAGACGCCAACCCCCCCCTTCTCATTGATGGGAAAGTCCAGACTGTGGTGATCAGCCCCCTTTGGCGGCGATCACCGTAATCCCGGACTTAAGGATAGTCTGGTATATGAAGGGGGCTGCAGGGTGCATAAAACACCCACGAATCAGTGGCAAGCAAGTTCCCGCCGCTCTCTACTTTAAACAAACTCGGCTGCGGGTACCGTTCCAGAAACCATGGGCAGACAGTATGTACGAGTGAGTCTAGTCATGTTGACAGCAGCTGCACAATTTGGGCCCTTGGAGCGCTAGAACGGTACGGGGACTGCGAGATGAGGTTGTCGTCCGTCCTTTTGGAAGGGGACTGCCATGGCGAGGGTAGGGGGAGTGGAGAGGGGCCCATGGGACGAGGCGAATATGACAAAGGATAGCTCGACAAACTTATATCACCGGTCGATCAGCCGCGTTGCTTTCCTTGGAAGGTCCTTTCTCTCCAGCGGAATCCGTCCTCTTGTCTTTCTTTTACATCCGACCGAACTGACGACTGTCTCTTCTGAATCCTACCTTCTTCTTGGTATCTGCAGCATGAAGTCTGCTATCCTCTCCATGGCCCTGGCGGCCTTGGCGCCTCTGGCTCTCGCCGCCGACGCCGTCCAGGGCTCTCCCGAGGGCTTCGCCAAGGGCACCACCGGTGGCGGCTCCGCCGCCCCCGTCTACCCCTCGACCACTGCCCAGCTCGTCTCTTACCTAACCGATTCTTCGCCTCGCGTCATTGTCCTTACCAAGACGTTCGACTTCAGAAACACCGAAGGAACGACCTCGGGAACCGGCTGCGCTCCTTGGGGCACTGGATCTGCTTGCCAGACTGCCATCAACAAGGACAACTGGTGCACCAACTACCAGCCAAGCGCCCCCAAGACCAACGTCAAGTAAGAATTTCCCTGTGCTGTGATATCTCTATCGGCACTTGTGCTCGTCGGCATAGACGGCTTGAGAATCGGTTCCGTAAGCTAACACATTCCACGTCTCCAGGTACGACAACGCTGGCCTCAACCCCGTCAAGGTCTCCTCCAACAAGTCCATCATCGGTCAGGGCAACAAGGGTGTCATCATCGGCAAGGGTCTCCGTATCACCGGCGGCGCCAAGAACATCATTATCCAGAACATTCACATCACCAACCTGAACCCCCAGTACGTCTGGGGCGGTGATGCCATCACTCTTGACGGCAGCGACCTCGTCTGGATCGACCACGTCACGACCTCCCTCATCGGCCGCCAGCACATTGTTCTCGGCAACGGCGCTTCCAACCGCGTCACCATCTCCAACTCCAAGATTGACGGTGCTACTTCGTGGTCTGCCACCTGCGACGGGTAAGGAAACCCTCATCCTCCTCCCCCCTCCTTCAACACGTCTTGACTAATCTTGTTTGCTTTTAGTCACCACTACTGGGGTCTCTACTTCACCGGCAGCAACGATCTGGTGACCTTCAAGGGAAACTATATTACCGCCGGCAGCGGCCGATCCCCGAAGGTCGGAGGAAATAGTCTGGTTCATTTAGTGAACAACTACTGGGTAAGCACGTAGCATTTCTGCATTTCTTGATCTTGAAGACTTGTTGCGATGCCTTCATCGGCATCGCGCGGCCCCGCGCAGGATTTCTCCGGAAGCCGGAAACCCCCTTAATCCGATTTCGCCGGCCCCACACGGATGGATCCACTCGTAGATACGTATTTCTTCGAGTCGGGCCATACTATGCTCTTCTTACTACCCGAAAAGTGCCTTTACGACAAGACGCTGTTTGCTAACAATGATATAGTACGACAACACGGGCCATGCCCTCGAGGCCGATGCTGGAGCCAAGGTCGTTGCCGAGGGCAATGTTTTCCAGAACGTCAAAGCCACGTACCAGACCGGTCTCGCCGGCAAGGTTTTCGCCTCGCCGAGTTCGAGCGCCAACACGGCTTGCAAGCAGTATCTTGGCCATGACTGCCAGGTGAACGCCTTTGGATCCAGCGGCTCTCTCGCCGGTAGTGACACCTCCATCCTGTCAAGCTTCTCTGGCAAGAACGTTGCTTCTGCAGGCGATGCCAACTCCGCCAAGGCTGCTGCCAACAACGCGGGATTTGGAAAGATTTGAATGGGCTACTTGGTGGTGCACACTTTGGTGCTGGCCGCTGTCCAAGCGCTTCTCTGTCGATATTATACTTACATTCATCCTCGTATTTATTTGAATCTTGCTAGCATCATGCATAGCCCAGTACATATCAAATCTTTTGATAACATACATTCTTCGAACCCCGCATACGTGCGGCCTTCTTCATATCCGCCGATAGTAGATATGACTCATCGATAAACTTGCATGTTGTTGCCGTTACTGGTCCGTCAACCACGTCCTGTTGGCCTCTGTCAACGACCCCTCTAAAGGTTGCGTCCAGATATAGCTTCGCCTCGGAGATTTCACGAATGTCGTAGCAGGAAATGAGAGAGCCTTATCCAAGTGCATCTTCACAGACTTGGTGGTGTTTCCGTGAAGTAAACAGTTGTTGGTCATATCACTCAAAGCCTCACTAGCGGCCGAGTGGTGGTGAGCGAGGTTTTCAAGAAGGTCGATCACAGCTTGGGTCACCGGGTGGATGGGGGACCCTGAGTGCTTCCTCTTCCATCGGCTCGGCTATTCTGGCATTGCTCGTATGCTTGACGCATTGCTTGATTCAATTGTGTATTTCGCGGGTATTACGGGAGGATCCACGTGATATTTTCCAACTGACGTTCCGCACCAGCTTGTAACAACTCTCCATCCCCAACAATTACAAGGTGGAAAGAACAAACAAAGAAACAAGACGTGGGTTCAACCTAGGAGGGTACCTTACCTCCCTATCCAAAGTCCTCATTCTTGGCTCTGTTTTGTTAACAGCGCAGTATGCCTATCGAATCCACCACTAAGTGAAAATCTTTCCGAGATTATATTCACCAAACTTGTTTCTGGTATGAATCTCTTTAAACCCAATCATTCATCCACGCAGTCCTTGCAAAAGGAAAAAGAAGAGACCGCTAATGCCAGCACAGAAGCAGATGCCAATGATCCAAGCTTTGTTTGCGTCATGGCAGCCAAAAGGGATCCATCAGATGCCATCACTGGAGTCATTCACCAGACGAAATACCTTCCTACATTACGCCTTTTCCCACCCGAGAGGAAAATATTCTTCCTGCAGCCTCTACACAACACTCTAAATGAGATGGGATGGCCTCAACTTGCATCAAGAGTCGCTCAGTACTGCAAGACATTCCACGATGTGGAATCAACAGAGCAGCTTGCAGAAGACATCAGGGCACAGGTCCAGCAGCACCAGGCACAGTTTCCAGCCATGATCATAAGCGACCCCGATTTACATTATGAGGACGAGGGCACCACACAACTAGGGAAGTCTGCAGACGCCCAAAGTACAGGCATGCATCACGACTGCACATATGGCCGAGCGGCTGCCAACACACCAATCCAACCAAGGAACGATTCCGAACAGGGCTTACATATCACTAAGAACGAAATCAAGATCAAAAAGCAACAAGACCATGCAGGATATTATGATCGACTCCTAGATGCTGCGTATCAAGCGCACATCTTTCGGATCCGACTTGCTGCCAGGTTTCGACGAGAGCATCCAGAAGAAAACAACATTCATCTTGAAGAAGCTGCACGAACACTCCGGGACATTGAGGCTTTGGAACAAATCTGGATCACGCTTCGAGGTACAAAAGGGAAGCCACAGGGCTGGTGACGGAGAGAGACCCTTGATGGCGGCAGATGGTAGGAAGGGAGGATTGGCTGATGGCTTCATGCATGCTTGGTAAGACGAAAACATGTCATCTACAATAAGGCATGCTGATACTGGCCGGAAGTATTGGGTCTTGGACACAGAAGACCGAGATATCCTACTCAGAGAGATGTGCCCACCCAGACCGAAAAGCCTAACGTTTAGTTAGTTTTCATGGCCGTCGGTTCACAGAGCCGTGGCCCGCCATAACCACGACTCAACCAAAGAACGGACAAAGCTTGCCCGCCCCAGGACCTCCATGGAAAATCTTTCAGCTCCTTCCTAACGCCCCAAATGTTTTCCTCTTGTGTGCCTTAGCTTCGAGCTCCAAGATAAAAACATCGAAAAGACACCAGCATCACTGATACCAACAGTCAACACAGCAATAACATCAGGTCGAAAACAAATCAATCATCATTCCGGTATGTACCGCCCCCGATCTCGTCTGTACGTGGGTGTTATAGTCCTCCGATTAACCGATGCGCAGTTTCCAAGACTCTAGCAATGCTCGATCCCATCAGCGGCTGGGCCATTGGCATAACGGCTGTCATGCTTGCCATCTACGGCCCTTACACCTACTGGATCTCCCACGGCCCTACCTGGGACGAGTGGCGCGAGCGTGAGGAGGCCGCCGACAGACGACGCCTCCGCGAGGTCATCCGTGACGAGAACCGCGCAGCCGACGCGGCCATGCTTCGTCAACTTACCGAGCGAGCCGCTGAGCTCAAGGCCCGCAAGAGGATGCAGGTGGAGGAAAAGGCCGGTAGCAAGGATCAGTCGGAGAAGAAGACTGTCTGAGCGAGCGAGCGAGAGAAACAGGATGCAAATTACACGGCGTGGCTGACAAGAATGTGTCTGGGATTGAGGTTATGGGATCAGGGTTCCCTTCCTGCAATTGTATTTAGGAGGCCACGGACTTCTCCCCGCGGATCAACAAGGCAATCGATGACCCTTCCCTCACCCTGAACTCTTCCTCCCCCCCAACCCTGAGAATGGCCGCAATGGCGTACGAGTGAACCGTCAAGGACACGAATTGGTTCGCGTCCGTTGAGAATATCTCATCAAGGACCTGCTGCTTTCTAGCAACATGCTCCTCCGCGGTCTCGAATCGGTCGGCCTTCCAGAGCTGATCCTCCTCGGTGAACCCGGGCTCGAACATGTACTTTGGGTACGCGCTCTCAATCCACTTCCTCGGGCTCCTCTCGTCGCATGTGTGATCGGTCATGCGTTCTCTCAGTCCCTCTTTGACGAGAGGCCGAAACTCTTCGCCTTTGGCCTCGACCAAGGCACCGAACGCGAGCCTGCTGGTTTCGAGACACCGACGGAGCGGGCTGGTGTAAAAGGACTCCGGGAAGGGAACCTTCTCGGTGGTCGTGGCGTCAGCCCAGAATTCACTCAGCTCTTTCGCCTGCTGGATGCCCGTGTCGACAAGCTCGGCGTCGAGCCATGTCACTACCCCGTCGCCGTCGAGATGTGACCAGTATCTCTGCGGCAGGCCAGCTGTCAGTAATGGATGGCCAGCGGGAGGATGGCTACTTACATTCCACTCGTCCCTCCCGACCTTGGCTTCTTGCACGTTGTGGTACCCTAGTCCGTGTCTCGTAAGGTATACGACCTTGTAGTCAACGCCATCCGGACTCTCGGCGTTGAGCCGACTGACGTGGGCGGCGAACCGTTCCCACGGCTTGGCACCTGGTTGATTGGTCTCATCTCCAAACGGTTTATCCAGGAGCCCCAGACCAGGCTGCGTCGTTGCTTTCCCACCAGGGCTCCTTTCTGCGACTTGGTGGTAGTCTACGAAGTACCCGGAGAGGACTGTAAACTTGTAGCGACAAACAGGGCTGGTGGGTGCGGCCATCTTGGTCGCTGCGAGTAGTGCGGGGAAGAGGGTTTGAGGGAGCATGAACCGAACCCGACGGTGAATGAGAAAGAAACCAGGGATGATGAGGCTAGAGTACGTGGGGGTTTTAGCTGAATAGGTAATGAGGGTGGTCCGAAAGCGATTAGGCGCGTCATTCGTTGGTGGGAAGTGAGAGTTGCGCGAAATATTGGAAAGGCGTTTGAGGCTTACCAGCTCGTGGTTCATACACTTGGGGCCCAGCTAGCGTCAATGAGAGGACGACACCGCCCACTCCCATTACCTGCAACGGGCAGGACATACTCGTCCCACACAACCTGGAAGAAGCGATCTTGCGCATAAGAAGCAGACCGGAATTCGCAGGCAAGAAGTTTTGGATTGATGCCATCTCCATCAATCAAACAGACGACGAAGAGCGGTCGAGCCAGGTGAAACTCATGGCCGCGATTTACAACTCGGCAGATTCAGTTTCAATCTGGCTGGGAAAAGAGGACGATGACACAAGTCAGGCATTCGACTTCATCAACCTATTTGCCACCATAGACCAAGCCAGACTCGAATTGACTCCGCACCGGGTTATGCAGAGCAAGATAGCAAGAATATGGGGAGGGCTTACTCTACACGACTTGCATGCGAAAAGCCTCTCAGGCTGAGAGTCACCGGATACCGACGTTTCAATGCATCTGGCGGCTTAGCGCGGAGCCTGGTTGTTCATGAGTCGTCGAGGATGCTCGAGGTTCGCGCTCGAATGGTCGACGTTATCCTATCTGCCGGAGAGGCCAAACATGAGATCAACAGGGGTGAGCCTTTTCCGAAGCTGATGAACATCTTGAAGGGTCATAATTCTTGCATTGACGAAGTGACGTTGGACATGGTCTGGTGCTCTCTGTTGACAAACACCAGTGGTGATCCGCCGCAATGTCCGATCGACGAGAGCTGCAGGGGGGCCTTCGTGCACTGGATTATAGACCTGTCAGCGTTGACCAAAAGCACATCGGTTCGGGAAGCAACAGAGAACGAAGCAATTTTGCCCGAGTTTCAACGACTGAGTAAACAGATACCCCCAAGCCCATCGAAAGAAGACTACGGTACCGAATTTTCTCATGGAGTTCACTTGAAACTTTTTAGGACGTCAAAAGGATACATTGGGGCCGGGTCGTAGTCTCTATAAGAGGACGACTCAGTATGGATCGTTCCCGGCTCTCGAGTACCTTTGATATTTCGTAAAGACCGACCTGGTCATCATCGCTTAGTAGGAGGGGCATACATACACGGATTGATGCACGGCGAGGCACTCGAAATGGCCGGCGTAACGAACCAGTGGGAGACTCTTTATATTTTGTAAAGGCTTCCCAGTATTAATTACGACCAGGCTCAATGAGCCCCACATCAGACCTTTCATCTTTCGGCATTGATGGATGATCGGTGGATGGCAGGTAGTCCTTTATGTGGGATTATCATATCAAACCCAAACTGTCTGTTATACTTATAGCTTTAGTAAACCAGTATCGAAGCCTGGCTCGTGGAATATATAAAATCTCAATCTTTGGTCTCATCCCGTAGCCTCACGCGGACCTTCATGTTGTCGACGGGGCGCGAAGTGACCTGACGGGTCTTGTCCTCAAGTTAGAGATGACCGGAAGGTAGCCGGCTAAGTTGGGAATAGGCTTACGTTGTAGAGTTGAGTGTTAGACTTGTATTGCCCCTTTTCATTGATGATTGGGTTGCCCTTTTCATCTCGAGTTGCCTCTCCCAAACCGACCTTCTCGAAGACGTATTTGCCAACGACACTGGCTAGGATAACCCTAGCCTCAATGTTGGCCAGCTCTTGTCCGATGCAGTTTCTGGGTCCTCTCTCAAACGGCCTCCACGCAGAAGCAGGAATCTCGCACTCTCCGGCACCCGCCTTTTCGTCTTCGTTTGTTGCCATGGACGTATCCGTGTTGCCGATCCATCGCTCGGGAACGAAGTCGTCCTTGGTACTTCCGTAGACGTCGGGGTCCCGCTGGATCAGGTGGGAACAGATGTACAAAACCATACCGTCGACGCACAGGCTGGCTCCGCTCGGCAGTTGAAGGTGAAAGTTTGCCCCAGGCTGGCTAAGACGAGCTGTGCCGGCGGGGGGGTACAGGCGCAAGGTTTCTTTGATGACCGCCGAAGTGTATGTCATTCCCCGCGTAATTTCCTCGCCTCTCGAGAGCAGAGCTTCGCGGACCGATGCGGGACTCAGATCCGGGCCAAAAAGAGCCTCCAGTTCGGCCCTGACAGCCTTCATTGCACGTGGGGTTCGGGACAGCTCGTAACAGGCCCATTGGAGGATAATGCTGGTGGTGTCATGGCCTGCGAAAATGAAACTTTTGAGCTGATCCTTGGTGTAGTCAATGACGTCCCGAGTCAACACTTCAGTATCTTTCAAGCTCAGGGCCAAGATGCTACGAGTTGAAGAGCTTTCGTTCTGTTTTACGTCATCGAACTTGCGCTGGATGAGGTCCTCCAGAAAGACGTTGAGAGTTTTAGATAATCTCTTCCGTCGACGGTTCCTTCGAGGGCCATCTGCCCACCGTAACATACCGGTGCTCTCTTTGTATGATAGAAGAAACTCTTTGTAGCTTTTGATGAAGTCACTCTGGAGCTCTTCTGGGAGCTGGGCGCCGAGATCGACGTCCATAGTCACAGCACCTGAGAACAATTGAGCTGTTGCGCCAGGAGATCTAGGCGTAGCATGTGAACAAACCGATGATATCGAATGTGAGATTCGTACAAAGAGGCTCGAGCTCAAAGACGGCGCCCGTATCGGCAAGTGTGTCTAGTTTCGCTAGAAAGGCCTGGGTCTTTTCCAGAATTACTGGCATCAAACCCATGAGATGCTGGGGGGCAAAGCCTGGGTTGAAATGTTTCCTCATGTCTTTCCATTCCGAGCCCTAAGAGAGATCGCCAGTCAGCTTCAGAGAGAATCCATGGAGAGTTCGACAAAGACCATCGAGTTGCGTTACCTTACCTGGGCCATGACGATTGATCTTTCACCGAGCAGTGGAGTCAGAAACATCATCGTATCGGACTTGGGCGTGCTGTAAGGCCACATTTTTGACTGTCTCGATACTTGCTCTGCAATCTCATGACTTCTGATCAGCAGCATTGGACGCATGACTGGACGGATGTCGAGGAGCATGACCGGAGGATTCCCGATCGACTCGATCATGTCACCAAACGCGGACTCTGTATGAGATCCGTCAGTTCATGAGGTTTATATTCAATACGATATGGAGACTTGACTGACCCATGTGGCAATCTTTCTCACCACGCCTCCGATGAAAATCATTGATTGCCTTGAGATGGCCCCAGACCAATGAAGACCTAACCTGGGGAAAGTGAGCATACTGCTTGAACCGACGGTAGCTCAACGCTAAGTCAAGATAAAGAAGAACGGCAGGTAGCGCTAAAAGCGTTATTGATAAAGGGCTCAACATGATGGAACTGATATGAGCAGCTAAAACTATCAGACTCGAGATGGCAGAGACTAGGCAAGATGACAGGTTCCTTGGGGACCCATGATCTATTATCATGACAGAGAAGACGTTTGTGGGTACACTGTGCGAAAGCCGTTTCAGGAAGAGCATGGACAAAGGATGCCCCGGTCAATCTTCTCCTGTCAAATGTGGCGGAATTACATGTGAATTAGCCGGCGAATGCACGGTTGCCCTCCGGCGAATTGTCGGGGAATAGGCGGTGAATTGGCCCCACTTTGAGGGGCTAATTCACCAATCAAATAGCCAGGATTAGTCTAGGATTTCCCTACCTAGAAATAGGGGAATTTCTATAGTTCTATAGGTTTTTTACTAGATCTATATATTATATAATTAATTAATTAACTATTATAATCCTATTAATTTAGAAATTAATAGTCTAATATACGTATTTATAATAGCTAATATATCTTTTTATTTAATAAATATTATTATAATATCTAATAAAAATAATAATAATAAGGTAACTATCTTATAAGTATATAGTAGAAATAGGTAGGGTAATAAGCTACTAACAAAAAAGAAAGGAATAAATAAGTAGGAAAACCACTACTACTTATAAAAACGCCTAATAATAATAAAACTTATATAAATAAGTAGGTCTAGTGATTCTTAGACCTAATAAAAAAGAGTTTAAAAAACAGTTAAAGGTTAATATTTATATTATATTTTTATATTATATTATATTTTATATTTTTCTTTAACTCTTATTCTCTATAAGACTTTACTAGAGTTATATAAAGGATAATAGATAATAATATCTTTTATTTTAAGGGAATTAATAGGTACGCACTATAAATTAATATATCGCCCTTATAGGAGCGTTGTTTTCTATCTTCTTAATTAGCTTAAAATCTATTATTAGTATAACTAAATTCTACTAGACCTATAGAAGGTAGCTTATCTTTTTCCCCCCTCTCTACTACTAGATTAATCTAACTTTAGTTTTATTTATACTCCTTATTTACTATAGTATTACTAGTAAAAGCTAGAGGTCTTCTATAGTACTAAACCTAGCTTATTTTATAGCGCCTAACTAAACTAACCTATACTCTTAGTATAGGTTAGACCTTTTAAGAGTGATAACTAACTAATTATAACCTAATCTTATTATCTAGTGCCTTTATTATCTCCTATATTAATAAGCAGCTATCCTAGCGTTAGCTAATTCTATAAAGCTAAAGACCCTTAAGGGTAATATAACCTTATTACTAAGCTCCTAGTTAACACTTTATATAATATATAACCTCTTTTATACTATAAACTATATTACCTTAGTATAAAGCTAATACTTTACCTTTAATACTATTTCCTTAAGGGAATAAAAAAAATCTAGTAGACTATCCTCTTACGTTTTTTTCTAGAGCCTAGTCTCTTCCCCCCTAATAAAGAGTCCTAGCTACCTCCTTATCTTACTATATAGTAGTTTAATAGTGCCCTTAAGCTTATTAAACAGGCTTTTAGAAGTACCTAGTAGGCTTTTAAAACTACTTAAGAGGCTTTTAGGACTAATTAATAGCTAATAAAAGCACTCCTCTAATAATAAGACTTTATTTTTAATAGCTTAAATAATAAGGTCCTAAAGCTAATTTATTATATTAATTACTTTAATAATAATCTTTCCCTTAAAGTAAAGTATTTTTTTAAACTATAGCCTCTTATTACACCTAAAGTAACTAATTTTTTTTTCTTCTTATACTTAATATACTAAACCTACTAATCTTTAGTAACCTAATTAAATATTTAAAGCCTTTTATAATTAAGTTAATATCTTTACTAAAGCTAATAAATTTAGTATTTTAAAGTATAATAAGAAGAAAGTCTAAGGCTATCTTAAGTAATACTATTTTTAATATAACTAATTTAGAAGCCTTAGACTACTAAGGGGTAATAGTATTTAATAGTATATATCTTAGAAATATAGTTACTAATAGTAGGTTATTATAAAGGCTTAAAAAAAAGTAAGTAGCTATTATATTATTATTTAAAGACTTAGTATAGTTAGTATAACTATAGCCTTAGCCTTAAGGCTTCTATATATCTTTCTTATTATAGACTAACCTAGCCTATTATTAAGGTAATTAATATAATAAGCTAATAAGTTAGTATTTAGGTATATAATATATATACTATTATTTAAAAGTAGTTCTTAGATTCCTTATTTACCTAATAAGATATTTATAATACTAAAGCTTATATAAACTAAAAGAAGCTAAGTAGGTATTTATTAACTATAGCTTTAACTAAGTTATTTAATAAGTAAGATATCTTATATATAGTAAAGTAAGTAGATAATAAGCTAGACTACCTTATTAGCCTTATATAGACTTTTCCTTATTATCTCTAAATATAGAAGTAATTCCCTAAAGTAATTAGTTTTAATAACACCTATAACACTAATTACTTTAAACTTCTACTTTTTTAAGCTACTAAGTAGACCTACCTTAGATCTATTTATAACGCTATATTTAGCCTTATTAATAATAAAAGGCTAGAGGGCTTTTAGTTTCTTTTAGCTAGTATTTACTAACTTATAGACTAAAACTTAGTCTATTATTTTACTATTATAATTATAAACTATAATAAGTAGATAAAGGCTATACTAAATAAGTAGTTTTTAAAAGTCTAGTAATAGCTTTATATTTACTATATTAACTCTAACGTTATACTTAGGGCTAAGTAAAAGTAGCTTAAGGACTATAGTTATAGTAGTAATAGTAGTAAGTTAGATAATAAGGCTAATTAGCTACTAATATAAGTAATAGCCTAGCTTAGTAATAAGGACTAGGCCTATATTAATACACTAGTAAGTAAGGCACCCCCTTATATATATTATAAGGTCTTTATAATATAAAAGCTTATTATTTTTACTAAGACTAAATACGCCTTTAAGGAAGCCTAGATTAAGCTTTATAAGAAGTTTATTAACTAACGCTTTATCCTCTAGTACCTCTATATAATATACTTACCCTTAAGAGTATAGTAGGCTTACTACTTTATTATTACGGCTAGTTTCTAGATAGTAGGGTTTCTACTAATAGTAAGTAGAGGTCAATACTTAGTTAACAGTGTTAGTTGTTCTTGTTAGTCTTATTAATTACTTAGTAATTAGTTAGGTAGTTAAGGGCGTCTTAGTGCTTATATAGCTTCTTGTTAATTAAATCTCTAAGGTTAGATACTAAAAGGTATTTAAAGAATATATTATAAGTTAATTACTAAAGAGCTATAGAAGTCTGTCCTTAAGTGCGTCTAAGTCTATCCTATATATAAGTCCTAACTATTCCTTAAACAGTTCCTTCTAACTAATAGTTATAAGTAATTACTATTCTTATATAAGGTAAGCGCTTAGTAGATACTAGTAAGCGCTTACTTTTATAATTACTAGTAATTACCTTATTATATAATTACCTCCTTATCTCTATATAACTTATACTATAGTTCTTCTATTTTAGGAAGTTATCTATTTATTCTTATTCTCTTATTTATATAAATACTATTTATTACCTATTATCTACCTATTAGGTAAAGTAATATAGTCTATAACTTATTAGGTTATAATATTAGGTCTCCCCTCTAAAGGTCTTACCCTTAAGACCTATATAAGTAGGTTATGTCTCCTAGGTTAAGGAGTTATTAATTATAATCCTTAATTTTTTATACTAATAATATATCTAGTAAAAAAGATTATTAAAAAGCTTCTTTTATATAGTGTTATCTAAAGCTTACTTTAGAAATAAAAGAATTTAGTTTTAATATTATGCCTTATTTATTTTATTAGTTAGTAGGTTATTATTATAAAATACCTATAAGGAAGCTAAAGTGTTATAAGTATACTTATTATAGTTATTTATATAATATAGCTATAAATACTATTTATAAGTATAAAAGCTTTTTTTCTTATTAGCTTTTTCTTATACTAATAAGTAGTAGTAGACTATCTTCTAACTAAGTCTAACTAGTTAGATTATAAAAAAGAAAAAGCTAAATAGCTTCTTTAGAAACGTATTAAGGCGCTATAAAAGGCGTAGGCTAAAATAGATAAATCTTTAGTAAAGTTAGACTGTCTTTAGTAGGTAAAAAGAATAGTGTTTAAGAAGGGTTAAAGTATTCTAGATACTCTTCCTAAGGAGTCTAAGGGGGTTCTAATAAAATCTACTATTATTTATAAAGTATAGTCTAGTAGTGCCTTTAGTGTTATTAACTAAAGCGCTATATAGGGGGATCTAGACTTAGTAAGTTTTAATTTTAGTATACTTATAGAAGCTACTAAGAATATTAAAGGTTTTTAACTAGTTCTTATAAGTTATTTTTATATCTATAATCTTTTTATTTAACTAGGTATTATTTTTTTTATTTTTATAGTGTTAATTAATAATTCTTTTAACTTTATATTTTAGTTTATAAGGTTTTATAATAATATAGTTATTAGTGTTTAATCCTTATAGTGCTAGTTTTAGTAGTATAATATAAAAGACTAAGTAGATTTTTATTATATCTAGTAAGTTAAGTTTATAGTTAATATTAAAGATTTTCTTAAGAACTTTAAAAGGTTTATATT